GGCACGGCCCCCCCACCTGGGTGCCGTGCTGGCTGGCAGCTGGAGCCTGTGGTTAGAGCTGGTGCAGTGGAGGGATTTGAGCCAATCTGCCTTGCACAGGCACAGGCTCAGCAACATTTTCCACTGTGGGGGGGATGCTGCCACAGCCTCTGGCTGCATTGAGCCACCCCAGGGGTTTGCTGAGCTCTGCCATGAGTGGTAACTGCACCAGCTCTACTTTGGGATCCTCTCTTCTCTGCCAGGGCTTTGGGCGAGCAGACCACTCCGTGACTACAGAGAAGCTGAAAGCCAAGTATCCAGACTACGAGATCACCTGGGCAGATGAAGGTTACTGACTCGCTCTGGCCGGGCAGTGGCCACGGTGCCAGCCTGGAGCTGGTGCAGCCGGATCCAGCATCGGGGCAGTAGCAGCAGCAGGTTCCCGGTGCTCAGCAGCGCTCTGGGCTCTCCTGCTCTTTCTTTGTGTTGAACTCATCCATTCTCCACCATCACCGGACTTCCCATATTCCGTGGGTGCTCCCCACCTCCCTGGCTCAGCACAGCAAAGCCTTGGTGAAGCCGGTGGGTGCTCTGTCCCGGCTTCCCCAGTGGCGAGGGGGTTTGTCTCAAGTGTGTATGTGAGAATTAAATGCGTTGAGGAGCGCAGGGTCATGCGTTCACAGCTCAGCCTGCTCCTTTCCCCCAGTCTGGTGCCCCCTCACAGCGGGAGTAACCCTATCCTGGGGCTTGCAGCCCCTCCTGGGGAACCTGCCCCCAAAAGTGGCAGGGCCTGGGGTGGAGACAGCAGGAGGTACATCAGGATTTGGCTGAGGAGAAAGCAATGGGGGTTTATGGCTGGTGGAGGGAAGGGCAAGGTGGTCCCAGGGGAAGGACCATCCCTCATCTCCTGCTGCAGAGAAGCTGAGCTGCCTGGGAGCGTGGTTTGGAAGAATGTGCACATTCTCACCCCAGCCTTGCAAGGGGATGGGGGGGAGAAACCTAAGGGCTAAGCCCAGGTGCCTGGAGCATGCTCGAGGTTGCACTGGGCCTCTAGGAAAAACAGCTCTGCTGTGCCTACGCCTCATCTGCAAGGTGTTGACCATGTCCCCATGCCGGGGTGAACGTCGCCCAACAGTCACACGTGTCCTGAAAGGACCTTGCTGTTGTCACCCAGGTGGCAGACCCTGGGTGGGTCAGGGTGGGTGCCTGCACTGCTTGCATGGAGGAGCACAGCTTCCCTTTGAGTCACCAAATCACAGAGCTTGGATGTGTCCCTGGAGATGCCCTGGCCGTGCCCTGCCCCAGCAGCTTGCTCGGTGCTGTGACCAGGTGGACTTTGGGCATCTCCACAGATGCAGACCCCGCTGCAGCCTGGGCAACCTGCTCTGGTTTTGAGGACCTTCCCAGGAAAAAAGGTTTTTCTTAAGATTAAGTGGTGTTTCACATTCTCGCTTTGTTCTCGTCTCTTGTCCCTTTGTGGGGTGCTCTCTGCTCAGAAGAGGCTGTCTCCTCTCCACTCTGTCCTGTCAGGTCTTTGTACACATGGGTGACATCCCCTCCACCTTCTCTTCTCCAGACTGAGCCACTGCAGCTCCCTCAGCCTCTCCTCACACTCCCATCATCACCACAGCCCCTAGCTCCATCTGCTCCAGTGTGCCCACATCTCTCATACTGGGGGGCAAGCATCCCCCTGTGTCTCCCCAGTGCAGAAGGGAGGGATCAGAGCTGCTGGCCATGGTTTGCCTATAGCACCCAGGAGCCTGGTGGCTGCTTTGCCAGCAGCCGCTGTGCTGGCCTGTGGTCAGCTCGGTGCCTGCCAAGTTTCCAGCAGTTGGGGAAGGGCAGGGCTCCTGCCTGGAGGCACTGCCGACTCTGGAGTGCCCGGGCTGGGAGAGTGCAGGGTTGCTGGCCTCTGCCTGCCCTGGCTCACGCTGAACGCTGCGTTTTACTGCGCCTGATGCAATCATGCTGCAATCGGGTGTCCAAGGCCATCGGCTGGGAGGGGAGAAACCTCAGTGCTCAGCTTTTGGCCGCGGGGGCCCGTCTCCAGGCACAGGGGCTGCCGGCAGGGGAGGCAGGAGGGCTCCCAGGAGCAGTGCCAGCCCTTGGGAGCCCCACCAGCAGCTTCCTCTGTCCAGGTGGGGAAACTGAGGCAGGGGCAGTGGTCCCCAGGCTGGAGCCCCAGCTTTTGGCAAAGTCAGCTCAGCTGGGTGCTGGGACAGGCTGCTCTCCTGCCTGTCCTTGCCTGTCCCAAGTCTCCAGGCAGCCGGAGATTTGTTCTGAATTCAAAGCATTTTTACGGCTAACCCACCCCAGTCCTGCGGATGGATCCCTGTTTGCTGTGCATCAGAGGCAGGGGCAGTGGTCCCCAGGCTGGAGCCCCAGCTTTTGGCAAAGTCAGCTCAGCTGGGTGCTGGGACAGGCTGCTCTCCTGCCTGTCCTTGCCTGTCCCAAGTCTCCAGGCAGCCGGAGATTTGTTCTGAATTCAAAGCATTTTTACGGCTAACCCACCCCAGTCCTGCGGATGGATCCCTGTTTGCTGTGCATCAGCAATGCC